TAATATACCTTAACCCCTTAAGGACCAAATTCTGGAATAAAAGGGAATCGTGACATGTCACACATGTCATGTGTCCTTAAGGGGTTAATAAACTGTAGTTTTATATTTTGTTATACAAACCTTTAGGGACTTTATCGTGTCATCTGGACTTTAGGTCCACAGGCCACTTTAGTACCTACCTACCCTGTCACATAACCACACCTAGACCCCAATTTAATTAACCCACCCATCAACCTGCTATACATAAACAGTCTGTGTGTGTGTGACCCTATTCCAGCTATTGTGTATCTATGTATGTGACTGTTTTTGTGATTTTATCTATGTATGACAGAGTATGTTGTGTGTCAATATATGGGACTTTGTCTGTCTTTTATCGTATGTGCCTTTGTGTTTTGTGTGTGTGTCTATGTTTGTAACTGTGTTAATGTGCATGTCTGTGACTGTTTTGGTGTGCCTGTGTACATGATGATGTGTATATGTGATGATTGTGATGGTGTGTGTCAGTTCATGTTTGACAAGGTTAGTCACTAAAACAATTGTCAGGAACTCAAAGTTTAGTCAGCTATGCTTCCACTTTTCTATTTTGGCCTTAAATATGAAATCCACTTTGCATTTCTGATAATTCTCACTTTTGTTAATTACCCGGTATGTATGTGACTATGTTTGTTGGTAGGTGCCTATGTATGTGACAGCGTTTGTCTGTATTTGTATGTGAATGTGTGCATGTCTATGTATGATTTGGGAATTTTTCTTTGTGTTTATTATGTGTATATGGGGTGCATACATCAGTGTACATATACAGCAAACTGAAATAAGTAAAAATATTTTACGTAGAAGCTTTGTATTAAAAAAATAATGAATACAAACTAGTTTATAGAGATAACCTTTACACTGTTTAGGAGAGCCTCACCAAGTCTAGAGCCACATCTGCACAAAGGGGAAGCAGGAAGGAATGCCTGTCTCCCCAACACTAGACACCGGGGACCCTGGCCTACTCTCCTCCTCTCGGTGCTCAAGACCACAAGGACTGTGTGCATGTGACTGCGCTTGAATGTTGTTACTTACATTGTGTAAGTATGTGACTGCATCAGTTTTTTGCTTTTTGTATCATTCAAAAGAAATGGATTTCTCTGATTGGAGTGCATCTCATTTAATTAATATTGATGTGTTTAGTTTGTGATTATTGATATGTCCATATGTTTTTGTGATTGCATGTCTAGTCATCTATGCATGTGACTGTATTTACGTGGTAGGCAAAAAATGGATTTAAAAGGTATTAAGAGACACACAAGACCTAACAGTGAGTTAAGAGACAAGACGGTAAAAGGAAATAAGAGACACACAAGGTGGAAAGAGGGGATTAGGAGAGACATTTAAGGGGAGTCAGGAAAAATGCACGAGGGAATGAGGAAGTATGAAGTATCACACAAACTTAATACGATTCTATTGGCATGGTAAGGACTAACCTATTCCAAAACAGCTGAACTGGAAAAATATCCAATGCCTTCATCCTATAAGGATTTCACTGACACAGTATGTCCTGATGCAGAGCGTGAGTACGTCTAGCATCATTTAGGCGACCTGGAGTCCATTAGGAATTGCTATGAAAGAAGAATGTGATCTGTGTCCTATCACTAGCTAGCCATGGTTATAGATACAAAATGGCTTTTTCGTCAAACTTAATCTTTCCTTTTTCTTTCTATCAATTAAAACAGAAGCCTTTTTTGTCCATTACTAAAATGTAAAACATATTCATTGTACATAGCCTCCTCACTGGAACAACAGTGGGCTAACTGTAAATGCAGATACACGTGAACTTTTATCTAAAATATAACTACTTCCATCTAAAATATAAATGCTACACAATTGATTGTTTTTTAAAGGTCTTAAAAGCAAAACACTGATACAGTATAATAAAAGTAGTTTAGACATCTATAATATATAGTTCATCTAATGATTCACTCTGTCATCATTTCTTCTACAAACAGGTATATCTATTCAAGAGATAGACATTTATATTTTATAAACATTTGTGACCAGCCATGCAAGGAGACAAATTACCATGGAAACATTTGAAAAGTATGCATTGTATTCCTCTATGATAATAACTTGGATCATATATCAGTAAAACAGAGCACTATATTACTCTCATGACTGCCTTGAAAAACAATGATCGAAAAGCTTTTTCCGCATTTGTACTGCCGAAAAATATGAACACACCTCAGTCAATAGAATTTTAATTGAAAATAATATGTATTAATATATATATTTATATATAGATAGAGGGGATAGTATTTTTGCTGTTATTCAATGGATGGAGCATGCAGTCATAGGCAATGTTATTGAATGAAATCTTTCTTTAAATCATTTGTGACTTTGGACACAGAGATAGGTTGAAATACACTCAGTAAGCACCAACTGTGAAATTCAGTTTTTCTAGTAAGTGGCTGAATTAATGGTATCAGCGATACGCTCCGCATGTTTTGCAGGAAAGCTACAAGATACGCTATGAAAAAAGTAAATGAGTTTCAGAATATCTGATATTTTTCTTAACAGAAAAAAGTCTGATTATTCATTTTTTGTTGTACGATAAAAAAATAAATATTTTCATGTATAAGTACTAAAAGTAATTTTTTCACTCACTACGTTTAAAATAAAAATGATTCATACCTCATATTTCTTACAAATAAGAATTGAATTAAAAAATAAAATAAATCTAAATATTTTGATTGTTATGTATACATGTTATCTTTGTATGCTATGTTTGGAAAATTGATCAATCAAGTGAATCTAATTATTTAAATTTGTTTATTTGTATATCAGCCAAAATATCAGGCCGCTTTTAACTTCCTCTGAATGTAGTTTTTATATATTTAAAATAGAAATGGATTACTACTGTATTGATTAATATACAACTTACATTCATGGTTATTTACATTATGTTATTTAAGTGAGTTTCAAATTTAAGACTAATGTAGCTGATCTAGAAGCATAGCATATTTAGAATTTTTTTCCAATGACCTTTAAAACTGACCTTCAATGTGAAATTCTTTTTGAATTCAATTCAAATTCTAACTTTAGTGAATAACCCTGATTATCTTTTTTTATGATGTCATGGTAACAGCTGGGACATAAACTCAAAGTGATAATATGGATATACAATTTTAAATATAAAAGTTTCTAAACACATTCATGGAAATACAGTCTGTAGATTTAGACAGCATATGTAATTAAGTAAATAGTTATTTTATTGAAGAACATACACTTTAACTCTTTTATCTTTATATTAATGTAACGCAAGATGCTAAGCCTGAAAAAATGGCATGCCCATGCTAAGAAAATAACTTTAACGTGAATGAACATTTTTAAGTCTTTGGATGTATTTAAAGTTTTTAGAGCACATAGTATTGATTTAGATTTCTTTAATTGTGTAAATGTAGGATTTATCTTCATAAATTGTGTCTATAGAACTCCAAACTTACTTTTGTGTTAATTTGGGCTTTGTTTTACCTTGTTTTTCAATGTGACCAAAGGGTAGGGTGAAATTAAAGATAAAATTATACTTTAGGACAGGCATAGGCAACCTTAGGCACTGCAGATGTTTTTGACTACACCTCCAATGATGCTTTGTCAGCATTATGTGCGTGAGAGCAAATTGGGGGATGTAGTCCACAACATCTAGAGTGCCGAAGGTTGCCTATCCCTGCTTTAGGATAATAAATGGGATCTTGTTTTCTAGACTTGTGCATGACAGGACTGTTTGGTTCGGATGCATAATTTTTACCGAAAGATAGGCACAATTTGCGTCACAAGACAGAGTGGTATTTCTTTTTGTGTCAGAGTATGGCATATGAGAGGATTATTACATAGAGACTGTACATTTTTGTTCTCAGAAGCCCACTGAGCTCTGATGTGAGCTTATATTGGTGTCTTCTTGTCTGCTCAGCTTAGGTCTAGGGAGCTTAAGCTTCGTGGTTTAGGTTGTGCCTTGATATGACCCCGGGGGTGTTTCGTGTACTGCTGTTGGACGTATTTTTGTGTATCTGTAACCTGTGGGTTTTAGAGGGCAGATCCTAGTGTGGGTCCAAGTTGTGTGCTGCTTAGTTCTTCGATAGTCTGAGTGTTCGAGGGAAGAGTGAAGAATTGTGCTAGATCCATGGAACCACCTGTCTACCTTGGTGTGTCTGCTTTGGCCGATGAGATGTGTATGAGGAATGTTCCTAATTAGTCAAGTGTAACGGCACCCCCAGGCATAAAAGGGTTAAACCGCCGTTTAGTAGATCTTCCCCTTCCAGAGATGCAGGTACAGCTACTGCAGAACACCAATCCGCTGAACAGGAAACCATATGAATGCTGTAAGCAGCCGAATAGGAAAAACCATACGCATAGGTTTACACTCCTAGCAGTCAAACTGGAACAGCATACAATAAATCCCCCCAAGAACGAGACAAAGCTCCGTGTTGAGGGTCAAGCAGTGAACAGTCAGAGCTGTGGGTTTATTGTTCTTATGAACACATTCTTACACATTAGTACCACCCACAGGGTTTTGGAACACAACCAATAAACACATACAATACACTCAGACACTCCCACACAAATTCCTCCCCTCTGCATGTGATTCAATTACCTTACACAATGGGTAATGTAATTTAGCACAAGCAGAGAAATAAAATTTTTCCACATTATTCATAACTTGAAAAGTATGCATCACATTCACATAAAACTTTCAGAATCAGCATACTCCAAATACAAACATACGTCAAAATCATACAAATTGGTCCAGTGGTTCAAAAGATAGATCGTAGTCCTTTGTGACCACAGGAAGCATGGCTTTTCTGCCCAAAACCAGTTCCACAGAGTCTTCTATCCTGGAGATAATTAGAAGTAATCCAATTATCTCCAAAGACAGAGGCAAAACTCCATTGAACACATGGCAGCAAAAGACAGTAAAATACAATAAAATACACAAGGTTACATTTATGACATAAAATACAGACATGCAACATATGCCCAGATAGCTTAGGTCTAAGCGCACATTATTACTGAATGGCGCTCAGAGCACACACATACAGTTCAATTGCCATGGAGCCAAAGTCTTTCCCATAGTCTTTCATTATACGAATGGGCTCCATGGTATAGCTATCTGGGGTATCACTGCTCAAACAGGGCAAGCACCAAATGACCCGGCTTTCTTGTCTTTGCAGGGGAAAATCAAGCCTTTTAACATGGGGCCATAATCCAAAGGCAACAGGCGAGCAACCAGGTTCTCCAATGTATGATGGTTTCGGTGGAGAGAGAAAAAGGGGGGGTAAGTAGGGAGGGACGTTGGCAGGTGGGAAAGCTAATAATAAGTTAGAAAAGGTAAGGAGGCAAAAGAGAGGCAGAGGGGAGAAGGAAAGAGAAAAGGGGAGTTTTGACAGGAGAATTAGAAGGATTGTGGGTAAGGATGAGAGGGGATAGGGCACGCCACCCCAGTCCACCCCGTCTCATGTGTGTTCAGGGCAAGCATCTCCAGGTGGTGACATCACATTCCACCTATTCAGTGGGATGATCACCAGGTCCGTCCTTTGTGCACAGGTAGAACGTCCACGTCCTCATGTTTCTTCAGTCTTCCATTAACTGCAGCAATTTCTGCTTCAACTTGCCTGATTTCCTCCACTCTTTGGAGCCAGGCTTGAAACGTGGGTGGTTGTATCTGAAGCCACAGAACCAGGATCAGCGATTTAGCTGCTGTAAGTAAATGATGAGATATCTTCTTGTATTTCGATATGGTCAGGGCCGACTTGTTAAGTAGGATATCGGCCGGATCAAAAACCACCTCCTCATCAGCTACATTCCATAGTGCCTCATAGATTCTTTCCCAATATGGCTTTATGCATAGGCAGGACCAGAATATGTGAAGGAGGGACCCCACCTCTTTCTCACACATCCAACAGACTTTGGAAGCCTCCGGGAGATAATTATCGATCCTCTGTGTTGTGTCATACCACTGGGTAAATATTTTATAATTAAATTCCTGGTATCTCGCACATCTAGAGCTGTGAGTCGTGTAGAAGGCCATCTTGTCCCATTCCTGGGGAGTGAACGAGGTGCGTAAGGTTTCTTCTCAGTTGGATTTTAACTTCAAAGGTGGAGTTGTTTCTGCCATCTGCAGAATGGCATATAGGGCTGAGATAATACGGTGGAGGCCCTCTCTTTTAGAGCAAATGTCCTCAAATGGGAGCAGTGGTCTCGCTAGTTGCAGTTGGCGGGCTACTGAGTTGTGGAAGTGGTTTAGTTGGTAGTACCTATAGCGTTTAATCATAGTAGGCTCGCGGTCTGGCATGAGAGGTATCAGTGTGTCTCCTCTGCAGAATTCAGAGAGGTGGATGTGTTGTCCCTTCCCCAGAAACCCTAGGTTCCACATCTCTCGTCCAGTCGGGAAAGCTGGGTTGCCTGTAACTGGGTACATTGGGTTGGTTAGCGTTGTGAGGGAGAGCTGAAAACGGGTTTGGTTCCAAACCTGCAAGGTTGCTCAGATAAAGGGTTTTTACATCTCAATCTTCTGGCTGCATCCTCGGGTAGCCACACAACACCTTGGATACTCCCACCTGCTACTTCCATTTCCAATTTCTTCCAGATCCTCTGACGGTTTTTTTCATGCCATGTTACAATTCTAGAGAGGTGCTTTGCCCTATAATAACCCAGTATGTCTGGTAGGCACAGTCCCCCATCGCATTTTTGTCTCAGACGTAGACACGGTCTATGCCCTTTCTATATAAACTTTATCAAAGCCATGTTTAGTAATCGGAAAAAGGCAGACGGCAAGCTGATCACGATCATCTGGAAGAGGTACAAGATCCGGGGAAGGACATTCATTCTTATGGAGTTGATGAGCCCTGTCCAGGAGAAATGAGGCGTGGTCCATATTTTCAGGTCTGAATATAGGCGGGGAGTAAGGGTTGAAAGTTAAGTAGGTACAGTTGTTGTAGATTTCTAGGGACCCATATCCCTAGGAATTTGATTTGGCCTTTGCACCATCGGAATTGATATTGTGTCTTCAGTTGTTCCACTTCCCGAATTGGGATTGTTACATTCAACCTCTCTGACTTGTCGAAGTTTAGTTTAAAATTACTGATATTCCTGTAGTTGTTAATCGGCACAGGGATAGACAGTCCGCTGTTGACTCGCACTCTGGTAGCAGGTTTGGGTTAGAGAGCACGGATCCACTTACAGAATGGATCTCCAAAGCCCATCTTCTGTACTGTGCAGAACATGTACCACCAGTCCACCCCATCAAATGCCTTTTCCGTGTCGGTCGATAGTATGACTAGTGGACGGCGAGAGGATGTGGCTAAGTGCATGAGATTTAGGATTCTGGTAGAGTTGTCCTTTGCTTCCCTGCCCGTGACAAATTCACTTTGATCTGGATGTATCAGGGACGGGAGTATCAGTATCAGTCTCAGTCTTCTGCACCCAGGAAATCTATGTGAGCATCAGAGGGCTATCCCACCTGTGTTAATCGAGTCTTCCACTTCAGTAGTCCCTGCATGTATGTTGATTCCTGTCCAAATGTCCTAGATCAAGAAAATGTATCATGCCTACATCCCCTTGGCTTCCAGTTTGATAGTGTACCGTGTTGCATTCCCAAGGGTGAGGCAGTAGAAGAATCCCCACCGTGTAGGGTGACTCATTCCCAAAGTGGTACCATTGTTCCCTGTTCACGATGTACCGAAGGGTGAATGGAGTATGTGTGTTCCATGGGGTTCCAGAAAGTAGCTACTCACACCAATCAGGCTCTGATCTGGACAGAATATACAAAACATAGGGAACAGTGCTAAAGAAAACCAATACTATTGTTTAGCTCTACTACATGTGAGTAGGACTACCATAGATCTCTTCTTCCTGCTATCCACCCTTTTCTACTAGACGTGTTTGAACTATTAGTTTTTTTTTTTTATACTACTTTGAACTTTGTTCATATTAGCTGAACTACAGCCAGCTTTGGCGCAACCTTAATTTGTCTCGTTTTCTGATCTGGACAGGCAATATAGACAAGCCATAGTACCTACTGAGGGTGCCTTGGTGTAGCGTCCTATCCGGCCTGCATACCCTTCATCTCTCTTTCCTACCCGGGTTCAGCAGTACATTATATCATGCATCATCAGTACATTATAACATGTTTCTTCAGTATATTAAAACATGAAGTGGAACATATGTTTCACCATTGCCTGATTGAGGTTATATATTTCCTAAGTTTAGCGAGGGCATAATTGTGGTGGGTCCGTGACTTGTAGCTAGAGAGGAAGGAAGTGGAGAGGAAAAAGAGAAAAAAAAAGGAAAAAAAAAAGGGGGTGGGGAAAGGGAGGGGAAAAGGAAATACAAATATTTATGGTAAAGTAACATAGCTAACCTGCCCACTCCTCTCCCCACCCACCCACTTGACAGCAAGTTAAGCATCAATGGTACATTCAGTCATGCAACTGTATACATCTTTCCACATCGCCTGGTTGGGCATATCCAGTTCTTCAGTGGGGTTGTCAAAGAGAAACCTACCAATGAGGCACGGAAAACCACCTCAGCGTATCCCCAGCAATACCCCAGGTGCAGGTCCCAGGGCCCCACATCCAGGAGTTCAGCGTGGCACATGCTGCGGAGGGTCATGGCCCCCATCTTTGCCAAAGTAGAGGGGGTTGCAGTAAGCACTTCTTGCATTTTACGTATGGGGCCGTTAAAGAGGAACGCATTTGGCTGGGGAGTGCAGGGCCTCTTAGTGCGACCCATTTGGACCAGCTATCTTGCTGTTAACTGCTTTTTCAGGGACCCGGGGTCGGGAGCCAAGGTCTCAAGCAGCCATCTTGTCCGTGCGCCAAGCCATGCCCCCAATTATTATATCTCTATCAAAAAAAAAAAAATATGTAGGAGAACTTAGTTTAATAATGATGGCTGATGGTTTTTCCTTTTGCAATCTTGTATTAATAAATAATGGGGAGCAGATACAACAGGAGTAATTTTAAGTTGATAAAATGGATTGTTTCTAAACATGAAAGAAAAAAAATCAGTGGACAATTGACAACTGAAAAATTGACAAATTGAACCTTACGCTTAAAAAAAATATAATAATAATTTCCAAGCAGCAGCTGGAGTCATTTAATTTAAAAAAAAATTAGATTTTTCCAAAAATGATAGGATGGAATGGGTGAATGGATCATCAACAGTTTCAAAATAGAATTACTCCTGCTGTGGCTCCCTCTCTTTTAAAATGCTTTTTATTGCAGATCCTTTGCCTTTTCAGTGCATATTACCTCCACAGACACAGTTGGGAGAAGCTAGTTCCATGGTGCTGTTTATTTCCAGGGATGGTCACTTCTGCTATGCATTGGATGTGTGGGAACGTTGACCATTGTGCAAAATGTCTAAGAGGGATGTGGCATGTTTCTGGATCATACTGCTCATGTGCCAAGAAATACAAACCGATCCAAGCACAGAAATAGAATCATCATTCGGCACCTGGATACAAGAGATGGCAGGGTTTATCTTAACCAAAAAGAGGATCCTAACCCAGCATGTGTTCATCAGCCTGGACCCTAAGATTTCCATAGAGGAGGCGTACAACGTCACATCGATGCAGCTGCCTGAGTTACAAGCCTAAATAAAAATACACAACCTAAAATAAAAAAAAGTAATGAATTTCCACTTCAATATGGTGTGCTTCTTATAAAATAGTCCCCTATTTGCCTACTATAATCTTATATTTTATATTTACTGTATATTTACTTTTAGAATGTGATATCCTATCACACTTTTTTAATATTTGGTGTTTTATTGAGTATATAATTAATTTACAGTTTGATTTTTTGAAATTATTATTTAGTTACTGTTTTGTAGCTTGTTTGTTAAAGGAACACTGTAGTCACCTAAATTACTTTAGCTAAATAAAGCAGTTTTAGTGTATAGATCATTCCCCTGCAATTTCACTGCTCAATTCACTGTCATTTAGGAGTTAAATCACTTTGTTTCTGTTTATGCAGCCCTAGCCACACCTCCCCTGGCTATGATTGACAGAGCCTGCATGAAAAAAAAAACTGGTTTCACTTTCAAACAGATGTAATTTACTTTAAATAATTGTATCTCAATCTCTAAATTGAACGTTAATCACATAGAGGAGGCTCTTGCAGGGTCTAGCAAGCTATTAACATAGCAGGGGATAAGAAAATCTTAATTAAACAGAACTTGCAGACACAACAGTTT